GGCATGGGGAGCCCTGAGGCCAGGCATGGGGATCACTGAGGCCAGGCATGGGGATCACTGAGCCCGGCATGGGGAGCCCTGAGGCCAGGCATGGGGCTGAGGGCTCCAGCATGGGGTTCCGCACTCACCGACTCTCCAGCGGCCTGCGGAGCCTTGTTCTCACGGCGGCCGCATTCAGCGCAATTCTGGGGCGGGGCTTCCAGGCGCGAGTGCGCACTGCAGAAGGAAGTCCCACCTCCCTGCGGAAAGCTGTTGGCTGATTGACATTGGAGTTGGACCTACCCTGCTCAAGAGTGGAGGAGGCAGTACAAAGCCAAGCTTTCCACTGGGTTACTCCACATGTACTTGGAAAATCGTTCAGATGTCCTCCTGCTTCTTCCCAACGAAGGGCAATGCAAGAGTCGCCTTATTCTTTCATTTTTTAAATTAAGTTTTATTTTATGTATATGAGTGTTCTGCCTACGTGTATGGAATGCCCTGCAGAGGCCAGAGAATCCCCCTGGAACTGGAGTTAGGGAGGGTCGTCGCTTTTTCTTTTATTTTATTTTTTCTTTTTCTTTTTTTTGGTCTTTTTCAGAATGGGTCTCCCTGTATTCCCAGCTGACCTGGAACTCGCTATGTAGACCAGGCTGGCCTTGAACTCATAGAGATTCTCCTAGCTCTGCCTCCTGAGTGCTGGGATTAAAGGCATGCACCACCACACCTGGCTCTGTTTTTAATTTATATATTTATTTTATTTTTAATGTGTATGAGTGTGTTGCCTGCATGTGCGTAAGTGTGCCCGTGTCATGTAATCCCTGCTGAGGTCAGAAAAAGGTGTCAGATCCCCTGGAACTAGAGTTACAGACATCTGTTAGCCCTCATGTGGGTGCTGGGAATTGAACCTGGGTTCTCTGCAAGAGCAATCAGTGCTCTTAACCACTGAGCCATCTCTCCAGCCTCAAAACATTTTGAGATTTTTTAAAATGTGTTTGCGTGTACTGCTTTGCCTGCATTTATGTAAATGCATCTGGGTCATGCAAGGTGTGTGTGGAGGGCTGCGGATCCTCTGGTGTTACACACAGTTATTAGCTGCTATGTGGGTGCTCAGATTCTTCTGACCCAGGTCTTCTGCAAGAACAGCCAGTGTTCTTAACCCTGAGCCTTCCTGATATAGTTTTGATTCAATAGCTGTTCCATGTGTTGTACCTATTGTGGGCCCAGAGCTTTGAACATGTTTTCTCATTTATTTACAACCCAACCAGGCTGTATTGAAGGTGCTATTTTTTCCAGTTTTACAATGCCCTGCCTGTTGCACAAGGGTGATTGAGATAGATCTGCCTACCTCTAAAACAAGTTTTAGCCACCAAGCTAAACCAGCTCCTTTGCTATAGGCCAGAGAAATGAGTTCCACAGTATATACATTGTGACCTTTTCCATAAGGCTGTTGGAACCAGAATTTCGTCTATACTACCTGCTGTAAAAGCCAACAAGCAGAAATTGAATCACAAAACAGTGCTTTATTCAGAGGGCCCACATCCTGAAAAGACAGTGAGTTAGCATCCTAAAAATCTGTCTTCTATCTTGTCTTTAGCCAACAGATTACACAGAGATAGGAAACCAGTGCTGTCTAGCTGACAGAGTTTAATCTTGTCCTCTGGCTGGTTAGTCAGCCATTTCCCTCATTTCTGTGTAGAGGGGAGAGTTCGCATACATCAAGGCCTCTGAGTCTTGCATTCCTCCTGAGCCACAGTTTAGAGGACATCTAGATTGAAGGTTAAGTTAGAACAAGCTTTTAATATGCTCATGCAGATTCCTTCCTACAGAATGAAGTACAAATGTGCTCTTAAACGACACACTGTAAAGCATTCTTACTTATCTCCTATGAGTATCACATGAGAAACCTGTCTCAACGTTGCATCTGATGGTGATAGAAATTACAAAAGGACAATATTGTGGAATTCTCCAAGTTTGGGGCAAGTGGGTACCCTCCCACGGACTTCTCATCTGTCAGAATGATCATTTCTTTGGCAGACTTGCCACTGCATCCCCAACATTTGTGTGACATAGATCCTGTGCCCAGCTGTGTCTGAAGAAGTCTGCCATCAAGAGCATGCAGCTATCCCTGATGGGGGAGTAAAAGGCAAGAGTTCGTCCCTGGACCACTAACATACCTTGGAGAGCTATGGGTTTGACTTTGTAGAACCTAACAGGGCTGTTTTCTGGGAAATGAGACCCCACCAGAGAGAGGCTGAAAATAGGAACCCTGAATTGGGACTTGAGGGGTAAACATCTTGCAGGATCAGAATATGCTTGGTGGGGAGCCTCAGTGGGGGCCTACAAAAACTGGAAGAAATCAACTGTGTTAGAGTTCTCCAGAGAAACAACCACCAATGGGTATGTGGCTGAAAATGAAATTGTGTAGGAAACCAGGATGCCAGGCCCTAGGGTGAGATGAGCCTAAAACTTTTAAGTCCAGGCTGCATTCTCTGCTAAAGGGAGGGGTGCTGAAAACAGTAGCTCTGATAATCCCTGTCTTGCAGAATACTGCCAGACTGGCAGGAGAGAGAGGCCTGGTTATAAGTGCAGGCTCCCTGCTCTGTGGGAAAGTGTCTTGGTCAACAACCCTTAGCTCATCTCCTTGTCCTGAACAAATAGATATCCTTAGCTAAGAAATTAGGCCAGGTTAAAGCTTTACTCCTGAGCTAAAAGCTAAAAGTTTACCATGCTTTTAACTCTAAGAAAGAAAACATTGTGGCCAATAAATTACTGGATGGGCATTGATAACCTTGAGTAAAGGTTTAAGAATACTTCTGGCACCAACTAACAGACTAAATGTCCTGTTTCCTTGTACCCTAAATCTTTGTATGTGACTTCCATATCCCACATGACTGCTAGTTCCTTGGGATGTATAAAACCACCTGAATTTTAATAAAATGGCTTGTTGAAAAGACACAGGTTCCAGGGTCCAAGACTCTGTTGCCGATCAAGTCTCTCTGCCCGGAAGCCAGTAGGTCCCCCACTGAGCAAAGCACACCCGAGTCCCGACAACTGGCACCCAAACAGGGACCCTCTCGGACCTCCGCTTCACTGCAGACAAGCAATCCTCCCTTCTTCAGCTGATCAGATCCCCTTGTCACGCTAGTTCATAGGTAAGGGGCAATCATAAATATGGATAATTCTCTTACTCCAGACTGGTCTCACTTCCAACCTAGTCTTAAATGCATGCTAAAGCCTAGAGGAATTAAGTGTACAGAAACTCAGATTAAGGCCTTTTTAGATATTACTATAGAATGTAATCCTTGGTTTCCTGCTACGGGAACTATTGACTTAGAATCTTTGAAAAGAGTAGGAGACAATGTACATAATTATCAAAGGCAGAACAAGACTGTTCCTGTCTTCTATTTCCCTCTCTGGTCTGCTTTTTGCCAGTGTCTCCAAATAGAAGAGGAGCCCTCTCCCTCTGCGGCCCAACCACCTATGCCCCTGTTCCCTCCCACTGCCAGGCCTCCCTCCACAACAGCCCAACAGCCGGAACCTTCTCAGGCTGCTATGCAGCCACCAGCACCTCCTCTTGCTTGATGTGAAGCTGCTAGCACTCCCTCCTGCTGTGGCACAGCCTCTTGGAATGCAACCACCCTCCTCTAATTCTATTAGAAAAGAAGATTCACCCCCCCCACACACACACTTTGGGATCTCTCCCCACTTCTCCTTCTCCTCCCTTGGCATCCCCCATGGCAAATGTTTCTTATACCTTGCCCTCTGCTTCTGACCCTGAATCTCTCCTTCCCATGTTTCAAAATCTGCTCGCAGGAGACACTTTCTCTAGAGAACCTTCAGCTCCCTTGCCACATCCTTCCTCTCAGTTCTTTCCAGTTCATGTTCCACCTGGCCCTGTGGCAGCTGACAACCCTGAACTTAGAATGCATAGTCCTTTTGGCTTTGAAATGCTGAAAGCAATGTGCAAGGCGGTGATGGAAAATGGTATGCATGGTCCTTTTACCATGGGCATCTTTGATCAGCTTAGCCATAAATTAGTCACTGCTTGGGACTTTAAACACCTCACCCAGGCTGCTCTGTCCCCAGGACAATGGCTCCATTTTAAGTCTAAATACTATGATAAATATACTAAACAGACAGCAAGAAATGCTCAAGCTAATGTTGATATGACAACTGACAAGCTTAAGGGCATCAATATGCTGATGCTGAGGCTCAGTATTTTAATCAAGTATGCCTCTCTGCCTTAAGAGCCTACGGATTTACACATGATGTTGAAATGGCCCCAACTAGCTTAACTGATCTCAAACACAAGCCACAGGAGCAATGGGCTGATTTCTTAGCCCATTTCCAGCGAACGGTAGAGGCTAAGGTTCCTCATGTAGATGCCACCCAGATTTTAATAAAACAACTTACTTATGATGGCTCAACTCAAAAATGTAAAGCAGCATTGCTCTAGTAAAAAGTCAGGATTTGTCTTCCTGGGTGATGGCTACTCAGGCATGGTTTCAGCACAGGCTGGCTTAATGACAACTGCATTAGCAGAAGCTTTCACTGCCCAAATGAATGATCCATGTTTTAAATGTGGAAAAATGGGTCACTTTGTGAGACAATGCCCTCTCATAGATTGCAAGCCTGTACCTGATCCCCCATCATCAGGCTCAAGACCCAAATCAAATAAAAAATGCCCTAATGTCAAAAAGATTTCCATTGGGCTAGAGATTGCCATTCTAACTTAAACAAAAATAACAAAACTTTAAACTAGAGATGGGGCAGCCCTCAGCCCCGCAACCAAGAGGGTCAACAGCCTCCGTGGGAGTAAACCCCCTCCTTGGGCATTATGTACTTGCCCTATAACACCTGACCTTAAGCCTACAATGACCCTAATAGTACATAGAATTGCTATAAAGGGTCTGTTAGATACAGGGACTGCTCAATCAATTATTAGACATGAGGACTGGCCATCACGTTGGCCCACAAAAAGGACACCCCCTTCTTGGGGATAGGAAGAACTATTTCCTCACTCCATTCTTTCCATCCCCTACCATGGCCTATTTCCAGTAATGAATTACCTCATTTACAGAGTCTTATACAAGAACAATTAGATAAAGGGCATTTAGAGCCCTCTAATGGTCCCTGGAACACACCAATATTTGTAATACAAAAGAAAACTCATGGAAAATGGAGATTTTTACAAGACTTAAGAAAAGTTAATGCCACTATGAAAAAGATGGGATAACTACAGCC